ATATAAATATAGATATAAATGTATTGCAATAGAGGTTAATGTACTGCACCTTCACGTATCGCTGTTCTGCGCAGGTTTTAATTTGGATGTTATTTCTCACTTTTGTCCCATAGATGCACGTTTTAGCACCTATGACATTGGAACACCAACGGGAATATGGCCAGCTAAACGTATAAATATAAATAATGTATTTTTGTATAATGTATTATTATGTAATACTATATGTATTTTCTCATTCATCTCAAACATTTTGCCTCTTCATTCTCAGTTTTAGATAAGGATTAGCTGTAATGTAATGAAAAAACATGGTACTGCCAAGGTACACCCTGACGAGACTAAACGCATTCTTGGAATAACAGAATCGCAGACAGCGACATGAGAGAGAAACGCGCACGGCTCTGAAGAAAACATCCCAACAGCACCCTCTGCTGGAAAGATAAGGTAGTTTTCTCTCTGCCAGTTTTAGAACACGCTACAATGAGGGTGTAGAAACGGATGATGTTGTCCGCTCGTCGCTGCGTCACTTATGCTTATGACGTTCAAATTAAATTAAGTAGCTTAAAAGCAATTATTTTTCACGCGCTCTAAATCGCTTCACAGGACTGTGAAAATGGACTCGCAATCCAGTATCAACCGCATCTGTGTGTTCCGACCAGATCGATGTTCATTTAGGCTTCAGGAGGATCAATGAGATTCACCTTGCCCATACGCGCTGAGCCCGTGCGAGTCTCTATCCCAACGAGAGCACTGCGCCGCAGTCTGCGACCTCAATTCCACTGCTATTGATTTTATGCTGTCAGACTATTGCAGTCTGCAGGGAGCGGAAAGGGGAAACCTATAGCCCTATTTATTGTGAAGCCACAAGACAATTATAATAATTCCTTACACATATATAGCGCTTTTCTGGGCACTCCACTCAAAGTGCTTTACAGGTAATGGGCATCCTCTCCACACCACCAGTGTGCAGCCCCACCTGGATGATGCGACGGCAGCCATAGTGCGCCAGTGCGCTCCCCCACACACCAGCTCTCAGTGGGATGGAGAGCAGAGTGATGAAGCCAGTTCAGAGATGCGGCTTATTAGGAGGCCATGATTGTTAAAGACCAGGGGGAAATTTGGCCAGGGCACCGGGGTTACACCCCTACTCTTTTCGAGAAACACCCCGGGATTTTAAATTAGCACAGAGAGTCAGGACCTCGGTTTTACGTCTCATCCGAAGGACGGCGCCTGTTTACAGTATAGTGTCCCCGTCACTATACTTTGGCATTAGCCTGGCTGCCCTTCCTCCTGATCACGTCAGGGGTTTTGATGAGCTGTCAGCCCGAAACCGGGGCTGGTCCGTGCCGGGATTACAAACGAGGGCGGCCTCCCATGTGAAACTGTCACTGCGCCAAACAATACCAGCCGCTCAAGGCGTCTCCCGGCGGTAAGAGAAAGAGAAACGAAATCAATGTGTGAGCTTGTACCTTTATACTCACGTGGTTTCCACCTGGATGTGCTTAATAAGTGCACACTGGCGTTTCAAGAGACGTCAGGACTTTTTTTTTTACTCTCATCAGAGACCCTTAATACGAGTGTTTCTCATTCAACAGACTTAATTGCCAAGTGTCGGGTAGTTAATTGTTCAACCTCTACAGTACAGATGTTCAACTCCAGTCCACGTGGGACACAGGATCCTCTGATTTCTATTCCATCTCTGATCTTAATTACTGTACCTTCCTGAGCTAATTATGTGGAGAAGCACTCCGATCGCTTAATCGGATGGTAATTTAAAACAACTCCAAGCCTTGCCGTGCAGATACTGCTGACAGTCTTGAGCTTGGGGCTTTATCGCAGTCATCCAGCTGTGTACAGTAAATCGGCCCTGGCTATGCTGGGGACATGCCTGAAATGGACTATCAACCCATCCAGACCCATACAGAGATTATAGTACTGGTGTATAGCCCCGAGGAGTTAGGTAGCCCATCCCGGCTCCACAGAATAACACCCATCAAGATACAGGAAGGCTCCAGGTCCTGACTTGAACCCAGGGCCCCAGTGCTGCGTGGCCACAATGGTAACCACTGCTATCTGTGTGGAGTTTGCATGTTCTCCCCATTTTCCTCCTGCAGGCCATAAACATGCTAGTAGGTTAACTGGCTTCGGACAAAATTGGCCCCGGTGTGAGTGGGTGTGTCTGTGTGCCCTGATGGATGGGTGTCCCACCCAGCGTGTACCCCGCCTTGTGCCCAAGGCTTACTGGAATGGGCCCTGGCTCCCCTGTAACCCTGTATCGGATAAAGTGGTTTAGAAGAGAGCTGGATAGACGATAAGCATGTACTGACCGGACTGCTGGCTCAGGTCAGTTCTTAACACTATCGGAACCCCTTCACTCAAATATAGCAGAGATTATAACACATGGGTCGAAACAGACAGGTGTTAGTGGGGCCAGCAGGGGGCGCTCACCCTGCGGTCTCTGTGGGTCCTAATGCCCCAGTATAGTGAGGGGGACACTATACTGTAAAAAAGGCGCCGTCCTTAGGATGAGACATAAAATCGAGGTCCTGACTTTCCATGGTCATTACAAATCCCAAGGTTTCTCGAAAAGAGTAGGGGTGTAACCCTGGCATCCTAACCAAATTTCCCCAGAGCCTTTACCACCTAATAACCCCCATCTCTGAACTGGCTTCATCACTCTGCTCTCCTCCCCCCTGAGAACTGGTGTGAACTAATGTGCTATTTCTGTGAAGTAATGTGGAAAAATTGTCCTATAAAAGAATGACAATAAATGAACATTGAAGCAACCGGTAGTACAGAACAATAAACACACAAGAAAATAACTACGTGATAGCCAAATATTACTACTAGTAGTAGTACTAGTCGTTGTTCGAACTCAAAATAAACCTAATAACTATACACCCAGCCTTTCGTTTTTAACATTTCTAAAGCGTTTGGAAAATCATCGAGCGAACAGGCTTTGTGACGTCATCACAAAGACGCCGCGCAACGTCATCGCTGCACACAGGCTTTGCCTACCCAGGAATACGTGACGTGCAGCCCATGGAGTGCAGTGGGGGGAGAATCAGACTAGTGGAGGAGAGACACAAACAGCAGCACCCGGCGCTGATGGTACTGTTTTGCACGGCTGGCGTCGGGTTTATGTAGAAGACCTGTACAACAGCACCTCGGGAGGCTCGCGTCTTATGTCTCATTCCCCGTGTCCCCCATCTGCCGTACGCGTGGGAACTCTCCAAGTCCCCCTTCCCCTTCATTTTTAGAGAGATTTCAGAAAGGCTGCCTCTACGGCCATCGTCTCAGTTGGAGGGGGGGCTACTCTGCTCTGCTCGGCTGTGTCGGGATCCCGAAAGGACGCCGGGGCGGAGGGAGCTACGAGCCTCGCCGAGGCCGGGGAAGGGAAGCCGATCTCCGGGGCTGTGGCGCCGGAGGAGACGGAGACGGAGACGGTCATCGGGGTCAGCTGCGGCATGGACGCCGGGGACACCGGTAGGGGTGCCGCTCGTTTTCTGCGGAGCTGTCAGCTCGACGCCCGGAGGGGTTGCTTTGGGGGGTGAATTTCCTTTTTTTTTTTAAAAAAAAAGGCAACGATGTTTATCACCGATGTGACGACTCCTTTCTGGGGCTGTGCGGTACGATCGTTGCAGCGGTTAACTCGGGACGTCTTAATTGGATTAAATGTCATTTGACTGCAGCTGAGGCTCGTATTTTGTTAACGCTATGTGCACAGCGAGTAAGAGGGGGTGGGGATTATGATTTTAGCCCACCCGATACCGAATTGAAAGGAAAGCATCTGTCCGGAGCCTCGCTTGTTTATAGAAGATGGGACGGGGTGTCCTGCGATGCTGCCCGGAGTTTTCCGCCCAGATGTTGCTGGAGTTTAATCCGTGCGCTAATCGCCCTCTCCCCCGGCTTGATCGCTTCCGAGCTGCCTGCTCGCCCGCGGGGGGGGGGTCAGAAATAATATCGGCACAGCCCCCCCAGTTCCCCAGCCCACAGCTGTGGCCGTCTGAGGTGACTGAATAAGCGGTCCCGCTCGTTGCAAATGTCACAAAAAAAACAAGAGAGGCTCGTCTTCGGCGGCGTCTGCAGCTCTTCACCCGTGGAGAAACGCGAGGTGCAGCGCTTGCCGTCTGGCGTCCTGAAATAAACGCGTGATGTGATGTTATTAACTGGGGTTAACGCGGTGACAACTCGCACAAATAGCTATGGCAGCCGGTAAAAGCCGAGTTACTGGGAGCGATGGTGCCGAAAGGGAAGGCTTGTTGTGGTGTGAAGTGCGTCGTCTTTATCTGTTGTTGTGTTTTTTCTGGAGCCCTGGTAAATTGGAGAATTGCACGTTAATAATATGAAATTCGTTCTTCCACGGTTCTCTGGTTAACCTTCACTAAGGTCATTTTTTTATGCGAGATAAGTTAGCGCGGATCTCCATCGCGTTAGTTACAGCGGCTTCAGAACTGCTGATTCAGCTCCTTGATTATTGTATTTTAAATGAAGACAGCTGTTGGTTGGGTCGGCACTTTTGGGGGCTCACGGAAATTGAGGGGGGGTGCGTTGTAACCCCCGTTTCTCCGCGCGACGGGAAAACTCGGTCGATTCGCACGGTCCCCCCCCCTTCCCCCCCAAAAAAACCCAACAACAACCAATATTTGAGTTTCATGACGATAAATCAAAGCTCATCTTTGTGAAATCGCTCGTCTAGAAACTGGCCGAGACTAGAGGTGTTTTGTTTTTTTTTGGCAAGACACTACAGATCCGGGGCAGATATTTCGATATTAACCATCAGTCTCGTTTAAAAATCCGCCTTAAAAAAAAAAACAGCAGCCTCGCTGCTTTTTCGCAGGCAGCTGTTCGGATTGCTGACTTCACTGCGCGTAACGTCGGTTGTGCAGTGTTTTACGAAACGAGGTGACGTGTGTGGTCCCTGATACAGAAGCCGTGATGATGGAGCCAGACAGCCACGCCGAGTGACCGCTGTCCTCCCTGACACAGTGCAGCCCCTGACCTGTTGCGGTTCTTGGGAGTCTGCTCTTGTTCCGTGGGGTTAAGTTGCATTCAGGCCTGGGTGTGCAGTACAGCTCGGACTCGTGTCTGGTGTGAATACAGGGGACTCCCTGCTGTGGTCTGGTCAGTAGTGGGCCATCGCTGTTGTCCGCAGAACCACAGAGCCCACTCTGTGCAGCGGCGCTCTTGAAGAAGCTGGCAACCTCCAGTAGCCAATAACCTACTGACAGGACCTGGGAACGGAGGTGTAAAACCCAGGTCCTGACTCTCTGTGGTCATTAACAATCCCAGGGTGTTTCTCGAGAAGTGT